GACACGGCAGGAGGGCACTGTGTCTGCGCAGCAGGGAGAGAGCGGGGGCCCTCGCTCGTACATGGCAGGAGGGGCACTGTGCGCAGCAGGGAGAGAGCGGGGGCCCTCGGTTGGACACAGCAGGAGGGCACTGTGTCTGCGCAGCAGGGGCAGCAGGGGCCGGGCCTGGCACGGCAGAGGTGCGGTCGGGCGGGCGGCCGGTGTGTGACTTGTGATCGGAGACTTTGGAGGTACAGGGGTGTAGCCTCTGGGCCCCACTCCTCAGGCGCCCAGGGGCGCAAGTCCTGCTTCCTGCTCTCTGTTGCTGAAGGGCCCAGGGAGGCCCCGTGTCCCTGTAAGGGACGCGTCCTCCATGGGGGCTGCAGGAGGGGGCTGTGCACAGGGGTGGACTGCGGACGCCCGTCTGAGATGCCAGGCAGCCAACAGACTGCACGCTGCAACCAGACAGGCGCTTTTTTAACGAGAAAACATAGCCGATGGCACAGTCCCTGGAAAACCGCCTTCCTCTGTGACCTTTTCCCGCGCCTCCCAGCGGCCCCAGGGCCGTGAGCGGTTGTGCGGTCTGAGTGTCTGTGCTCAGAGGACCTAGGATGCTTTTCAACATGAAGAGCTGGTATTGGCCCCTGGATTGTGCAGCCAGGACCCTCCCTCCTGAAAACCAGGGGGCAACAAAAGACAGTGTGCGTGCACCTGCCCCGGGTCACAAGGGTGCTCCTGCTTCCCTGGTCCGAGGCTCTGCTGCTACAGGAGGCCCCGCCCACTGGGGGAGGCCACCTGTGTCCCTCCCAGCCCCACCACGGCCTTGGACAGTGCCATTGTCCTTTCACAGAGCTCTCCTGACTCTGACACCCAGCCCCTGAGCTCCAGCCCCAAAGCACAGCCCTTTGCACGCCAGCCCGGGCCCTGGCGGGCGTCTGCGCAGCTGTAGGCACAGCCTCTGTTCGAAGGCCTTGCTGTGGGCCCAGAAGCTCCCTTCGACATCACTCCCACCACCACACAACCGCAGGGACTCCAAACAGCGGAGTGTGTGGCACCGGCAGCCCTGGCAGTGTTCCCTGCTCACGGTGCTGGGCCTCAAGTTCATGAAGCCTGCGACCTTGGAAACCAGGCTGTGCACACAGGTAGTGCTCTCAAGTCACTGGGAAGCCAGGCCAGGGAGTCATGGGTCGCGTTCTCCTGGTGTTCACTAGTCCAGGGCTCCCCTGAGCTTGCGGCACCGAAGCCACTGGCGTGAAGGCGAACCGTGGCCCAGCCTGCGGCGTGTGTGGCTGTTGTGGGCCCGGCTGAGGGCGGTGCCCAGGACGAACACCAGGGCAGGGACACCCTCCGGTGCAGGCTCAGCCCCACCCGCACACTCTGGGCATGCCAGTCTGGAACTGGCCCTTGTCCCCTCTCCGTAATCCCATTGGGGACGGAGAGGCGTTCGGGGAAACAGTGTTGACTGAGGGCATCGTCTGTTCACCAGTGTTTCTCTCTGAGCAACACCACTAGGGCATTGGGCTTATCATTCTGCTCCACAAAACTGAGCAAGCGGTCACTCCTCAGTCTCCCACCCAGGGGGCTCAGCGCAGGCAGTGCACAGGAGGCCCCAGGTGTCAAGTGGGCGGTGGTCTCACGGTCAGACATTGCGTGAGGGGCACCTTGGGACGCTCAGAGGGGAGGACCGGAAAGTATTCAGTCTGCAGCGCCAGAGAAAATTAGGGGCTGGAAACACTGGCGTTTGTAATTACGCCAGGGAGTGGCAGGCTCATCTGGGGAGCTGAAGGGAAGAGCTGGAGTAACCAGGGGGTGTCGGTGGCAGGCAGACGCCAGGCACAGCCTGACGCTGGGCTGGCGGGGGGTGGGCAGGTCGTTAGCCTCCCGACTCAGTGGCAAAGCCTCAGTTCCCAGAGAACACGGGGACTCGGCAGTTCAGGGTCCGTGGGGAGCTTGCAGGTCCTGGTTTTATTTTTGTTTTCCATACAGAACAAGCCCTGTGACTGGGGGAAGCTCGAACTGGAAGAAGTTTCCCTGCTATTTAGCATCATTTATCTTGTGTGTTTACTTCTTTTTCTCAGCCTTGTAGTGCTTGGGTGACCAGCAGGTGATCACAGTCAGCAGACCAACGGGGACAAAACAAACAGCAGGGTGGCCCCCCCCCCCCCGCCTTCCACCCGTCTCAGCCCCTTTGGGCTTCTGCTCGTGCTCGTTGGTTCCACAGTGGGTGCTGGGTGTCCACAGCCCCAGAGGCACCTCGGCTGCCAGTGCAGCCACCTGCCCGGTGAGGTGGGTGGTCAGAGGACACAGGTGTGTCAGACTCCTCGTGAAAGCCACTGTCACAGTCCTGAGTGGATCTCTGAGTGAGCCTCACCTGGCCGGCGGGCTGGCAGGCAGAGGGCGGGTCACAAAGGGGGCGCAGGGATGAGCCTGGACCACTGGGACCTGCAAATAATCAAGCCCTTCCCCCAATGGGGCCAAGGGGAGGGAAACGGGAAGGTGTAGCCTGTGTTACAGAGAGGGGTGACGTCACTACCTGAGGCCACTGAACAGGTGTGTGCCAGAGCCAACACTGTGTCTGGGGCGCAGCCGGACACGCAGCGCAGGTGTCTATCCCGAGAGAGTGATTGAACTAGGATGTGAGACACCCCCCCCCACCGGGCCTTGCCCCTCCCCCCAGAGCAGCCTGCGCACGTCCTGGCAGGCCCATGTCTCTCTGGAGTGGGCCTGCATTTGGTGAGGGTGGTCAGGACGGTGTGAGCTCCCTCACACACCTGCTCACAGCCGGGCTGCAACCGTGCTGCCCTGTGGCTGCCTGGCTGCAGCTGCTGGGTGTGCTGCTGGAGAGCCTCCCTCAGAGGGAGTCACGGAGGGACTGGGACTTCTCCTCTGGGGGGCGGTGCTTCTGAGCGGCTCCCCAGACTCCTCCTGGCCTCTTCCCCAGAGCCCGTGTGATGTGGTGGTCATCCCAGGATTGCCACTGGGCACAGTCAGCTGTCGGAGAGGGTCTCCCGGCTGGTGACAGGAGGGGAGGCCAGCGGTGCGGGGAGAGGCGGGTGAGCGCCACTACTCCGGCGGACAGCCGGCACGGACCGGGGACCCATGGGCTCCAGCCAGAGCCTGGGCTCTGCCAATGGCCCGAGTGAGTGGGGAAGCAGGTCCTGCCCCTGAGCCTCTGGGGAGGCCTGGCCAGTGGCACGGCCCAGGGCCAGGCCGGACTCAGGCGCCAGAACTGCGCAGTCATGAATGGGGCCATGGGCGCAGAGCCCTTGGGAGGGGTGTGGAGCCTGAGCTGGTGACAGGCAGGCTGCACTAGAAAGCCCCTCAGGGAGACATTTGTTTCCCATGTGGGAAAAGCATCCGACACAGCCTGGTGGCCCCAGCCCGCCGCCACAGCTTTCCATGGATCTCAGAAATGTCCGTGCCGCCGGGTGTGTCTCCAGATGGTGCAGGAGCCGGGCAGGCTGCTCCCCAACAGCCCTGGCTGCTCGAGTCTCGAAGGGGGCCCCCCGCTGGCTCAAGGCCACCCAGCCAAGTCGGAGCAACCCTTACACGCCAGAGTCACAGAGTTGCTCGTTTTCAGTGGACTCGGCGCAAGTGGGTCTGCAGGCCCAGCTCAGCCACACCCTCTGGCTCGCTCTCTGTGGCCCAGTGGGAGGGGCTGGTTCCCTGAGGCCACCCAGAATAGCTCGGCCTGCCCCTTGGCCCAGCCAGCGCACAGGGACGCGGAGTGAAATGTCCTCTGGCTCGCTCCCTCTGCAGGGAAACGTCAGCGGGGCCGTTCCCATCACTGTGGGATTGGGCCAGCTCCTCGGGGTCCCAGCAGGAGACACGTGACCAGTCCCCTTCCGCTCCCTTGGGCCCAGCTTCCCAGAGCCAGTCTCGTTTCAGGCTCGTCGGAGGAGCTTGGTTTCAATTATGCGCCTCCCTGAACACCCCCCAGACGTTCCAGTCAGGAGCTTTGGTGGGGTTTTTCCCAGCCAGCCTCTGGTGTTTTGCAAGGCATACACATTTCACAAACGAAAACCAGCCTGGCCGACCCCTTCCCGGGGCCGCCTTCTGGCCCGATGGCGACCTTCGCCCTCTTCTTTTGTTGGAAACACGTCCCGCGCAGCGGTTTTTGTGGCTGAGTTTGGAGAGGCAGGGAAGGAAGGAGCCCGCCCCTGGGCGTTGGAGCGTTTCTGGAATCTGGGCTGTGGCTCATCCTCCCCCTCCCTGCATCCTGGGTCCATGCTGGTGCCCGCAGCTTCCCTCTCGGCTGCCCCACGGAGAACTGCCACCTGCCCAGTCCTCCCGCTGGGCAGCACGGGGCGGGGGCTGTGGCCGTGGCTGTCTGGTGTGTCCCAGGTCACTGACGGATGCGTCGGCAGGAGGCACAGCCACTCCACGCTGGCTCACGGGTCCTTCCTCTTCACGTGGGTCCTCAGGCCTTTTTCTTCCTCCTCCTCCGACCTTGAGGAGTTCTTCAGTAACACCTCAAAGGGGGAAAGAAAGAAATGTGTTCAAAACCGCTGAGGTTTGCCTGAGTTCTCTGAAAAAAAGTGGAGACAAGAGGGCAAGGCCATCCACAACAGAACGTGCAGGCGTGGCCGTGCCTGCAGTTTGCCCACCGTGACCCTGTGCCCGTGCACGTCCGCAAGTCGTTCCTCCGAGTCACAGAGCTCCGCACACCATCCTGGGCCAAGGCCGGGCCCTGCCCTGGGGGCTGACGGTCACTCGGGCAGGGCTGGGGCGATGGCGGGACAGGTCCCGAGGCCGTGTGCACTCACTCCGGAGAGCACGGGGGTGGGGCCGGACTGCCAGTTCTGGAAACTGCCATCCCTCAGTCCTCCGGGCAGAGCCCTGGGCACAGTGGGGCCCTCGGCCGCCAGGCGGCTGCTCTCGACCTGCACCCTTCCTCCCCCACACAGTTGCAACATCGACTTGGAAAGTGCAGCTGTGAAGGGAAACACAAGGGCCTGTCCCTCAGGAATGCTGGCCTTTAACCTGTGTTTCGTTCTGTTTTTGTCTTTTCCTGTGTCTAGCACGAAAGACTCTCCAGGTAAGAATGACCCGTGTCACACGCATGCTGAACCCCTGAGTGTGAGTGCACGTCCGAGCAAGCTCACACGCATGCCGATCCCGTGTGCCGTGAGTGCACGTCCGAGTGAGCTTGGCTCTCATCGTCCGTGTCCCCCTCATGTCCCCTCCGTCTGCACGGCTGCCACGGCCACTCAGACTGTCCTCCCCCCGCCCCTGCCCTCCCAGCAGTGCTCTGTGTGCTTCACACGCCTGGCACACCGTCCTTGGCCTCGGGGACGGCCAGCACCCGTGCGGCCCAGGTCCCCACAGGGGGCCCGGCACAGGGCCTCGCACAGTCCCCGCCCCAGCGGCGCGCAGCAGTCCATCCTGTCTCGTAAGGGCCGAGACCCTCGGGACCCCTGTCAGAGCCTGGGGGCCAGGCCCCTGAGCCCGTCTTCCCGAAGAGTCCGAGCAGCAGAGGCTCCGGGGCCTCGGGTCTGAGGGGACGTCCGCAGGCTGCGGGTGAAGCGGTCACGGGAGCCGGCGGCGGCCCTGCTGCTTGTCCAGCACCTGCACCCGCTCTCCTCCATGGACGGATCTTCACGTTTACAGACTCGCGCGGCAGAAAGAACCTGTTCACCCTCAGCTCACCTCTCACCGGCACCAGCCGCAGACACCAGCTTCCCCGGGAGAAAATGGTGCTTTGCAGAACTGGGGGACGTGGCGTTCTCCCCTAGTCAACTTCTTGCACGCTCTTGTCACGCTGTAACAGCCTCTCGTGAAAAGAGGCTTCTGTGCAGACACGTGCTCCAGAACCACAGAGACTAGACCAGCGGGCATGTGCTCCAGAGCAGGCCGGTCCCGGGGCCACGGGGACTGGCCCCGAAAGTCACCTGCGAGGCAGCGCGAGGACCCCAGCATCACGTGGACAAGCAGCTCTCTGGGGAAACAGCTCCTTCCTCAGACCAGAGCCAAAAACAGGACAGTAACACAAAAAACCTATTTGAGATGGATTACAGCTTTTAAGAGAAAAGGCTTTCACTACAGAAGTCGTGGAAGAGTTTGTAACCTGTACACAGGAGAGGCCTCCCCAGCAGACAGAGGGCAGAGTGGGGGGCGCCTGCAGTGAGCACCTGGGGGCATCGGGGCCGCGGTCAGAAGCAAAGACGAAACCCAAGGCCGGACCTGGTGATTCCGAACCCTGGGACGAAGCACAGCAAGACAGCCCAGCTCCGGGACCGGGCGGCGCAGGGGCAGAGTCGGCGCGTGGTGGCCCTGCGACCCAGCAGCCCTGCTTCTGAGCCTCACCCTCCTACAGTGGCTGCACGGGCACATGGAGACCTGCGGACGTCTCCTCGTCGTGACACTGAGTGGGCGCGCTGGGGCCACAAACAGCGAGCATGTCTGTCACTGGGGGGCAGAGTCCCCTGCAGCCACAAGCGGAGGACTTCGGTCCGAGAAGAGTTCCACCCCCAGTCACGGCAGCCGGGGGCGGGGAGGAGGGTCGGCAGCCATGTGTCTTGTCGGGAGTGACAGAAGTGCCCAGACACCTCTGCATGGCTGACGTCCGGCCAGCGTCCCAGCTGAACTCCCTGGGCCGTGTCTCAGGCAGGAGGACGGGCTGGCGGTCACTGCCCATTGTAGGCGCCTCGGTACTTGTTTTGTGCCAGCGCCGCGGCTCCTGAAACCAGGGAGATCAGTGAGGTTTCTGTTGACGAAATTCTTCAAAAAACGAGGAGACAGTTGTGGGACTTGCTAAGACAGAAGCGGCCGCTGAGTCCCAGGAACTCCGTCTCCTCACACTCACCAGCTCCCCACCCCCGTGCGAGGGCGCAGAGCCCTGCGGGGCCGGCCTGCCAGGAGCCGTTTCAGGCTTGGAAAGGGCGACATCCCAGAAACACACGCACCAGCGACGAGGCTCTGGGCCAGCTGTCTGCTCACAGGCCAGGGCTGAGGGACCCTCCCCAACGGCCCTGCTGGAGACTCTGGGGCAAAAGCCCCCCCAGGTCTGGGAGCCAAGCTGCCTGAGAACATGGAGCCACCACGCAGGCAGCATGGTCCTGTGTGGAGAGTGGAGTCGAGGGGCCCACACATGCATGGCCCCGCTGCTGCCCAAGGCCGGTGATCGCTGTCCCCCAGCTGGCCTGCAACTGGAAGTCCCCGTGCCTGCGACTCACCAGCAGGGCTCCGGACTCACCAACCCAGAGCTGCTGTACCCAAGAAGCACGGCTTTGAAAAACACACTTGTTGGGGAGCAGTTCAGCCCTGAGTGACTTTGAGGGGCCCTCGGAGTTAAGGCAGCCTTTGGGCCCAAACGGCCAGTTTTTCAAGTTGGCCCTGCTCTGGCCGATGATGGCCCCTCCCCATGCTGGTGGCTTAACCCTAGGGCCCGAGAAGCAGAGACAGCACGGGGTTCAAGGAAGGGGTGGGCTCCCCCGTACTTCTCTGCCCTCAGCACCGCCCCCTGCCATGTTCTCAGGGCCGCTCTGACCGCCCATTGGCCCCCGCGTGTCTCCTGCAGGTTGGAGTCCGGGAGTAGCAATTCTGCCGCCAGCGACTCCTATGGCGACCGGGCCTCAGCGAGAGCCCGTCGGGAGGCCCGGGAGGCCCGCCTGGCCACGCTGACCAGCCGCGGGGAAGAGGGCAGTGGCAGGGACTACAAGAAGGTAGGGCCCTGCGCTGTTTCCCTGTCCCTGGGCCTCAGCCTTCCCGGGCTTGACAATGAGCCCAGTCCTGACAGCAGAGACTGTGCTGAAGTGACTGTGACAGTGACCCCCCCCCCCCCCCCCCGTCTCCTGGCTGCTCCGCCTTCTGGGACCTCCCCAGCACCTGGAGGGGTGCACCCACCACCTGCAGGGCTTCGCTGGGGCCCCGTGGAGCATCAGGGTAGCCCAGGGTGGAGCGGTGGGAAGCAGGAGACCAGTCGGCTGGATGCCTGTCATCCCTGGGTGTGCGCAGTGGCGGTTCTGGCAGGCGCCCCCACCGCCACCACGGAGGTGACCTGATGACTCCCCCCCAGCTCTACGAGAACGCCCTGACCGAAAACCAAAAGCTGAAGACCAAGCTCCAGGAGGCTCAGCTGGAGCTGGCAGATGTCAAGGCCAGGCTGGAGAAGACGGCCCAGGTGAGGGTGCTGCGCGGAGCCTGGGCGGAGGGGTCCTCGGGACGGGGGCTGCACCTCCCAGATGCTGATGGACTTCAGTGTCTGACCAAAACGTTCGGTGAGCCACGCCTGCTGGTGTGAACATCCGTCACTGCCGTCGTGTGGCGTGGCCAGTGCCCGGCGGCGTCCCAGCCTCGTGCGCCAGGTGTTCAGTTCATCTCCACGTCACCCCCCAGAGAGGGACAGGGGAGGCCCCGGCAAACGCAGTGCCAGGGGTCGCAGGTCAGGCCCCGAGTAGTGAGTGGTTGCCCAGGGCAAAGGTGGTGTTGGGACTGAGGATCTGGTCCTGGGTCACCCCCCCACCCCCGCAAGGCCACCACTGCCTGTCAGCCCGGCGCAGGAGGAGCAGAAGGCTGGGCTTCATTAACCTCCGACACCTGGTCCCCAGCCGCAGGCCTGGCCAGCCCCGGGCCACCGCCCAGGCCGCTGCCCAGGCCGCCGCCCAGGCAGTGCTGACTCAGCGCCCTGGAGGCAGGCCTGGCCCCCGCCAGCCGCACTGACCCAGGAACAGCTCTTTCCCGGGGAGCACAAGCGAGCGCCGTGGCAGACTCCACGAGTGCGGGCGCAAACGCTGGGGCCGCAGCGCTGGGTGCCGGGGGTGGGGGCAGCGAGCTCCGTGGCCTCTGACTCTCCCTCGGAGGGACTGGCCGCCTCACGTGGGCGCCTGGCCCGACCTGTGCCTGCTGCAGCCGGGACAGCTTCACCTGCCCTCCCTCCCCCACCAGAGCTGCCGACAGGCGTCTCCGGATGGCCAGGCGTGCTCGCCCTACCCCCACCCCCGGGCCGAGCAGCCGAGCCCCCGCAGCCTCGGCAGCTGCGGAGGCGACTGGTACGGAGGGCGCTGGAAACAAAACCCAGCCCGTCTCGCCTTCGCTCTGCCAAGGACAAGTTACTGACGTTACAAGAAAGAGCAGGCTGCACAGGGAGCCTGCTGCTGACCAAAAACGGAGCGTGGGGCGGACGGGGCCGTAGGGGCCCCAGTCGCACGGAGGCAGTCCCACGGGGACACACGGGGCTTGCACACGAAAGCCCCCCCAGCCCTGAGGGTGTCGAGATGGGAAAACAACCGGACGCCCAAGGGACGGCCTGGATGGCCGGGGAGGGCCACAGGCCTGCTCCTGCCTCCGTGCCTGCGGGGACGGGGCCCGAGTCCCGAGAAAAGAGGCCTTGTGAGCAGACTCACGATTCCCGTGTCCACCAGGTGTCTGCAGAGGGGTCTGCAGTGCTAAGGGCCCCCCCACTTGCTGGGCTGCACCCCCACTGCAGTTCTCTTCCTTGCCCCCCTGCGCCCCCACCCACTGCCCTGTGTGCAAAGCCAGAGGGTCCGACGCCCTCCTCTTGTGCGGAAACCAGGGCCAGGCTTGTCCGGACGCTCCCTCTGCGGAGGCGGCCTGCCTGCTGTGCTCAGAGCCCAGCTGGGGGCAGGAGGGCTCTGGGGGCCCCTGGCGCCCACAGCCGGGCCAAGCGGCCGCCCCGGGGAAGAGTTAGAGGAAGAGTGGCCCTGTCCCCAGCACCGAGATGAGCAGAGGGACTCAGACTCATCGCTGCCCCTCGGAGAGGACACAGGGTGGTGGCAGGCTGGGAGGGAGGCCCCTCCAGTCCAGGCTGGTGGCTTGACCATGACCATTGTCCCACGGGGACCCAGCTCCTGCCCAGGCCCGGAGTCCCACCAGCACCCGTGTGGGGTCCCAGGTCCACAGTGCAGCTGCCCCGACGGACCCCAGCCGGGCCCCCTCTGTGACACGCCCCCTTGTCCCAGCAGAAACAGGAGAAGACTCCCGACAGGTCCTCGATGCTGGAGGCGGAGAAGCGGGTGAGCATCTCCCCTGGGGTCCCCGAGCGTCCTGGCTGTGCCAGCAGTGCAGTGGAGAGCGCCGGCCCAGGAGGCTCCGGCACGTCCCTCCCCAGCTTGGCACAGACCCTGGCTCCCTGGCTCCGCACTGGGGTGCCACTGGGGGGTCCTTCCCACACAAAACAGGGGTGGGGCCCTCGGGGGGGTTGCCTTGGCGCTGTTCTGCCTGCAGGCGGCCCTGCACACACACGCACACACGGGCAACACACAATGTGCACGCCTATACTGTGCGTGTGGCACATACGTGCATGTGCGTGGCCAGCACAGACACGCGTGCACACAGCACACTGGCACACCCCCAGGCCCAGCTCCCTCCCTACCCTCTGGACCCCACCCACTCTGACCGAGGGGTGTCTGGGTCAGTTGCTGCTGCAAGCCGACATCCTAGGGTCGGGAGGACTCGGATTTAGGGTCGAGCCCCAGCTTGGGCCACCCCTGGGGCAGCTGCTCCCACCTCCCCCGTCTAGTTTTGAAAGCAGCTGCGTTTCAGGACGCTCTTCCCTCGGCCCAAAACAGAGCCCAGTGGGACCAGGCGACACCCGTGCTGGGGGCCCCGTGGGGGGTGGCGTCAGCCCAGCCTCTGCTCCCCAGTGTGACAGTGCCTCCTGAGGGCCTGTCAGGGCCAGGGTCCTAGTCCCAGCAGAGCTGCTGGAGGTCGGGGGCGTGCAGAGGTGGCTCTGTTGTGAAGCAGGACCAGGCAGCTGCCGCGTGCCCAGGGACATGTGCTGGGGCAGCGTTGGGTGCCCTGCTCAGCCCACACTTTCCCGCAGGAGCGGCGTGCCCTGGAGCGGAAGATGTCAGAGATGGAGGAGGAGATGAAGGTGCGTCCCCCCAGGGCTGAGCCCGGCCCCCACCCCACCCCCACCTCCCTGCCAGGGCAGCGCCGCCCCTGGTCTGGGGGCCGCTGGAGGCAGAGCTGGGTGAGCAGGCCTGGCTGCCACGTCCCGCCTGCCGCAGCCCCTGCAGGAGAGCTGGCCCGAGCCGTCCCGCCACAGGGCAGGCTGCAGCCGCACGCTGCGCCCCAGCCCCTGGTGTCTCCCTGGAAGGCTCAGTGTCCTTGGAGCTGGCTCGGGGCAGTGGGTGTAGGCCGGGGGCTCCCTGCAGGGCTCGCTGCTCCCTCCTTGCCCCGTGACGCAGCCGCTGTGCTGGGCAGCTGCCTGAGGGGTCGTGCCTCTGCGGGGCCACCAGGGTGGTCGGGGGCTGCCAGCCTGCCGTGCATGACGCCCAGCCTGCAGTGGCCCAGCACGGCTCAGTGGCGCTTTCCTCAGTGGTCTCCCTCGACTGGACGAAAGTCACAGAGTGCGCGTCTGGTGGCGTGCAGGGGCAGCGGGGCCAGCCGCCAGGCCGTGGGTGGGCAGGCATCCCCACAGGGAGACGTGTGCTGCTCCACGGGCCACAGAACGTCGGCCATTTGTCAGAAAGGTTTCCCAGGACCCGGGAGGTCTGGGTCATTGCACAAACCCGGCACTTGCATTCCTGAGGGGGGGCCCTGACACGGGGACCCGGAGGCCCCCCGCTCTGCTCCAGCCCTTCCTGTGGCCCTGCAGCCCTGCGGGCCAGCACAGCGAGGCCACGTCTCTGCTGCCGCCCTCCCGGTGGGCGGGCTGTGGGCGCCTCCCCAGGAGGTCCCACGGGGAAGTGTCCCCCGCCTTTGCCCCAAGTTCCGCCCTGCGAGCTCACACGCGGGTGTCAGGGCCCCAGACTCGGGGGGTTGCCCACTTGGAAGTGACTTTGTTGTTGTTGAACTTCACCCACTTGGTCAGAAGTCATATCTTCTCCCAGAACAACCGCAAAGCTGGGAACCCCGGGCCCCAGGTTCCACCCCTGCCCCTCTCTGGGCACAAGCGTCGTGGTGCTGGCCCGGGTTGCCCTGAGGGGCCGAGAACGCACTTGGCTGGCTTTAAGGCTCTCCCTGAAGCCCACAGCACAGGGTGATGAGGCCACCGCCTGTGTCCTGCCCAGTCTGGGTCCCCGTGGAGCTCAGGGCCGGTGGCACTTGCGCATCCGTCACCCCTCCTTGGCGGGTCAGCCGGGCCAGTGCAAGTCTGACCTCCCGAGAACCTCGAGGAGCAGGTGCCGGGCGACGGAAAGTGCCCCTGGGCCCGTGTGGTGCACGCTGGTGAGCCAGGCCCCAGGCCCGGCAGGCAGGGAGCCCGGGGGGGGGGGGGGGTGGGCTGTGGGGCGGGGCCGCTCTCCTCAGGGCTTGCGCCCACCTCGGGCCTGCTCCCTTCCCCGCCTCTGAGGAGCACCGCCCGTCTGGGGTTCGCTTCGTTTCCTCTGGACGTGCCCACGCACCTCGTCCCCCAGCCTGCTCGGGCTGCTCCCTGCGGGACATGCGGCAGATGGCTCCTGTCCTGCGCCCTCTGCCGAGACACTCCTGACGCCCCCGCATGACCTGCCCGTGAGCGCAGGAGGCGGGCCTCCGCCTGGCGCGTGGTCTGCGTCCACCCTGGAGGAGGGTGAGGGCGGGAGACTGCTCGTGGGCCACATCGGCAGGGATCTGTCCTCTCGGCGGCCGGGGGAGGGTGGCCCAGTCCCTGCCCTTCAGTGGCAACTCCAACTCACTGGGAGCCTTTGTCCTCACTCACCGGCTCCAGGACTGACACTCCGCGTCGCCCCGGCCCGTCCTTCTCAGGCCCGTGCCGCCTCCTCCCTGCTCCGCACCACTAACCCTTCGCCTCCGTCCTCCTGCTTGCGGGTGGCACGCACCTGCGCCTGGTCCTGCAGACCTGCCTGTGGCCCCGCAGCCCACACACAAAGCCTGCCCACCCACCGGGCCACTGCCCTGTGCCCAGACCTGGCGCCACACAAGGACTGAGCTCCCGTGAGGCCCGAGTGTTGGGAGCCAGGCCCACGGGCAGGCGGTCCTCCAGCGTCTCCGCGAGGGACGCAGCCCAGGGCACCACGCCCTGCGTGGCGCAGACGGTCCCACTGCAGGACAGCGGGCACAGGGCGGGTCCGGATCGGGGCCTCCGTGGGGCAGGGCAGGGGCACCCACACTTGAGTGCACCAGTGTGGCTTCTGGCCAGCCTCACACAGAAAACACACCCACCACAGGCTCCTCTTTTGTTTTTAAAGAAAAAAACCACGAGTTAAGAGAAAGGCCCAGAAAGGAAACAAGCCAAATGGGGGGACCCAAGTGGGGGCCAGCCAGGACCACGGCTGCACCCAGGACATGCCAGTCCTCAGCTCCCATCCCAGTCGCAGTGGAGGGACCCGGGGCAGTGGCTGGACCGCGCCGGCCCAGCTCAGAGCCCCCAGAGCCGCTGCCACAGTGGGCGGGGGGCTGTCACCCTGGAAAGCCAGCAGACGGGCTGTGGAGCCGAGGGCCGACGTGCGCATGGCTGGCCCTCTCGGGAGGGGGCCTGGTGGGCACCCTCCCCACCCCCCTGGCTGCGCCTCTCGCTTCCTCTCTGCATGAGCTGAACACCCACCACAGCCACGCCTGCTCTCACTTCCTGGTCTGTCTGTGGTCTGTCTGTCCGTCCTTCCGTGTTCCACTGCAGAACCTCCACCAGCTAAAACAGATCCAAACCCTGAAGCAGATGAACTCGCAGCTGCAGGCTGAGAACAGGGCGCTGGCCCGCGTGGTGGCCCGGCTCTCGGCGTCTGCGGAGGCTGCGCCAGCGCCGGGGCTGTAGCCACGGCCCCTCCTCCACCTCTGCAGGCAGGTGTCCCTCCGTGTGGCTCCCAGGAGCTCTGGGAGCTCCGGGCTCGCCCCTCAGAGCCCTGTGCAGGGGTCAGGGCTGGTCCTTGACGTGGGCAGGGCCAGGATGGAGCCTGGGGCGGGGGGGTGGCCCAGGGTCACCCAAGGGGCTGAGGCACACGCCGGTGCACTTTGCCCGGGTGGGTGCAGGTGCACAGCATGGACGTGCCTGGGCACCCACCTTGCAGCAGAGCGGGGGTCTGGGCAGGCCCGCAGCCCCCTGTCGCCACTTCTGTGACACCGGGGCTGAGAGCCTTGGCCTGAGAGGTCCCCACAGAGCCAGCTGCTCAAGTCCGGCTGCATGCTAGGTGGGGCCGCCTAAAGGCTCGCGTGGCCGTGGCCCCCTCCTGAGTGGCCTTCGTTTGCCCTCCTGGGAGGCAATTCTCCCACCCTGGGCTTGGGTCTCAGGCCCAGCGGCGTGTCCACACCGCCCAGCACAGGGGCTGAGAAGCTGCCGCCTTTGCAGAGAGATGGAGGGGGGGTGTTTTTCCCTGGGACCCAAGTGGGTGTGGGAGGCTGAGCCTCCCCTTGGGTGCGGGTCCCAGAGCTGCTCGCAGGGGACAGACCCCGCCTCAGGCCCTGAGACCCGCCTTCCCTCTCCAGCAGCAGCCGCGCTGGTGCAGACAGGCTGGCCCTTCCCTGCCCACTCACTGCACTTTCGGGTGGCTGAGGGCAGCTCTGCCCACTGGGTTGGCAGCCCCGGCAGAGAGAGCAGGCGCTGAGTGAGCCACCGACACCAGACTTTCAAATCCGCCTCGAGGCCCCCGGGAAACGGGCTGATGGGGCCCCTGCACAGGTCCTCGTTGTTCTCATTGTCAAGTATAGGGTGTGGGGCGAAACCTGCTTTCAGTGGTGAGTAGCCATGGTAACGGCTGTTTACTGGGGCCTGTGCCCACTTGTCCCCAGAGCAGTCATTTTTGCACATGTGGCAGCCGGTCCCAGGCTCAGGAACGGGTGCAGGTCGCTCAGAAGAAGTGGTTCCCTCCGAGTGTGTCAGGTCCCAGGGCCACGTCCCGGCCCCTGGTGCGGAAACCGGCCACACTGTCCCCCCGCTGTCCCCTGCGTGGCAGTGAGGGCCAGTTCTCTGCCGTTTGCCAGCAGATTCTGCCTGGTACTCAGCCTCCTGGACGGCAGAGAAGTGAGAGCCCCGGACACCCGTGGAAATTGTGGAGTCAAATGTCAGTGTCCAACAGGAAGCTTTGCTGGACCTGCTGGGTGTGGGTGTGGCTGAGGGGTGGCCACTGGGGGCAGAGGCCGCAACCCGGAGGGACGGTGGGAGGGCAGCGTGGTCCCTGGGGCGCCTTGCCTCCCCGGCGTCGAGCCGTCTTCCCTGACCCCTGGGGAGACACCGGTCTCGTCTGGGAGCGCCGTGCAGCCAGTTGCCGCCCGCCAAGCAGGGACCTCCCCGCCCCCGGCAGTGGAGGTGAGGCCGGCCACTGTCCCCGCAGCTCGGGGCACTTGCCCTCGTGGGCAGGAAACGGCCGTGAGGAGGAAGGGCTGAGCACATGGGCCCCGTCTCACCCAGATGCGGGACGTCCAGCCCCGCCCCCTGACCCTGCGAGTGTCCCCGCCACAGGGAACGGCTCCATCTGGTCTCCGTCCGCACGGAGTCGAGCTCTTAGTGTGGGGACACATCACCCAGCCCCTGGAGGAGTCTGTGCGGGTGAAGGGCCTGACGCAGCCAGGAAGGGCTCGCAGCCATCACTCTCACTGCCAGGGCCTGCAGGGTAGAGTGGACAGGGCTGGACGAGCCGGCCCGGTGTGTTCCGGGTGCGCCACTACGAGGAGCGGTGGTGGGGCAGCAGCTACGGGCACCGTGTGGCTGCAGGGCAGGTCCGGGAGGTGGGTCCCTGACCAGGGCGCACAGTGCTGACCACACGGCCGGATCTCTGCCTCGGCACCTCAGGGCTGTCGCCCTGGGCATCTCCCTGAGGGCTGGGTGACCTGGGTTGCATACGTGCAGGCTCTGCCTCAGACCAGCAACCAGGTGCCTCCCTGGGGTCACCAATGACTCTTGCCCCTCACGCCACGATGTAGCTCGCAAGAGCTTCCACAGAGCGTGTCCGGGGGCGGTCACTCCTCCTTCCTGGACATGCAGCTCGGGCTGTGACCCCAGGTCCTCTGCGGGAGACAAGGGGAGTGGCTGTCCTGTCAGGGCCTTGGGTCTAGGCCTCGTGACACCTGCGTGGCCCCCACAAGCCTGTGGTCACAAGCAGCTGCCTGACGCCGTGGGGGTGTGCTGTGGCCTTGGACCCGGCTGTCCGGCCCTGCTCCCTGGCCTGGCCGCCTGCGGCTTTGACACGCCGCCCCCCTGTCCCCCACAGGTGTTAACAGAGCTGAAGTCTGACAACCAGAGGCTGAAAGATGAGAACGGCGCGCTCATCCGAGTCATCAGCAAACTGTCGAAGTAGCGCAGCCGGGGCCGAGGAGGCCTGGCCAGTCTGCTGCCCCTCCCGCCACAGCTTCCCACCCTGAGGGGGGGGGGGATGCGCTGAGAGGCCGCTCGTCCACCCTCCTGCAGTCACCTGCTCTGCTCCTCTCTGCACTCTGCTCCACACGAGCCTGCTGAAGGCCCAGCTGCCTGCCGGTCCCCACCGGGTCCTCGATCCGACCAGAGCCTCTGGGTGGCCCCCGGCAGGCCCCGTGCGGGACGTGGGCACAGCGGCCACACCAGCTGCGGGACTGTTTCTGTTCAGTCCTGGGGACGAGTGCACAAGGGTCCCTGCTAGTTGTCACCTTTCAGGACCTGGCTTTCCCTGCTCCTTGTGCTGGTGGCTTTTGATCAACGACCGGCTCCCACCCCAAGTTGTCCTTGCCTAGGGCTCAGGGGGCCCTGGTTCCGAGGCCTCTCCTCTCCACCCGCCCTGTGCCAGCCTTCATCGTCCTCTCCCCTGCCCCCGACAGTGGCTGTCAGACAGGCCTGACCCCTGTGCCTCACCCCGTTCGCCCCGGGTCGTGGTCCAAGTGGGAGTGACGCGGGGACCAGGCAGTGGGGCGGGTGGGGCAGACTCGCGGTGCCGGTGGGGACCCTGAGGACGGGTGGCGTGAGCTGTGGGGTGAGGGTTTCCGGCAGCCGCATGTAGGGAGAGATGTTCGTGTCTGGGGACGCCAGCAGAAGTCACAGAAGTTTGCAGGTGACCCACTGTCATGGAATCGGAGGTCGTTTGGTCCAGCTTTGCACCCTCAGGTGGCCTCTGTGGGTCACTGTCACTCGGACGCTGGGCAGCTCTGATAGGGAGCTTCCCTGATGTGGGGGGAGGCCCCTGGGGCCCCCCCAAGCCCTTGCACTGTGTGTGGGTGGTCCCCTCCTCTCCCAGCACACGCGTCCCTGGCCGGCTTGGCCACCACCCAGCCGCACTCAGACCCCGTCCTGCACAAGGGCCCGGTGTCAGCTCGTGAGCGTCCGCCTGTCGCAGGCGTCTTGGTCCTTGGCCATTTGCTCTGCATGTGGGCTCCCCACACGCTGCTCCCTGCGGCGGGGTCCTAGCACTGGTTTCCTGTGCGGCCTGCGCCCGGCCTCTGGCTCTGCGCTCCTCCCCCAGGACGTGCCAGCACATTCTGCCCATGCTCGTCACCAGTCTGGGGACGCAGGACCCCGCACACGGGGCTCGCCGTGTCCACCCTCTTCCCCAGCAGCCCCCTCAATGGGCTTGGTGTCCTGGGACCGGGTGTCGGGGACTCCGGTGGGATATCACCCACCCACGGGCACCTCCCCCCTGGGGACCGGGAGCCCTCTCGTGGAGTCGCCTGCCCGCTCTCTGGCCGTCCTGGGTGCTGGGGCGGCACGGGCAGCCGCCTCTTTCTCAGGAAGACACTGAGTTGCTGGGGAGACGTCTCCACGCTCCTCCCACAGGGGCCAGGAGGCCAGACCTGCCGTGCCTTCATGTGCGGACGGCACTGGGACTCGGTGGCTGCCCCTCCGTGTCAAAGATGCCTTTTCTTGCCAGAAAGTTTCCTTGTGACAAAGTCACAAACTTTTCAACCTCAGGAATCCTGGGTCCTGGGGCCGTGCTGGCCCCCCAGGAGCCACCGGCTGCCAGCTCTGTCACTTCCGTCATGCAGACTGAGTTCAGGCACCTCCCCAGGGCTCAGGACGCCATCCCCATGGCTGCTGCCCCTGCGCAGACCCCAGGGTTGCCGCCAAGTCACCCAGAGGCCCAACAGGCCCTGGCCAGGGCCCTGAGCAGCTGCTCACTCGGCCGGCCGGACGGCGGGTCTGCTCCTTGGGGCCCCAGCCCACTCTTGTCTGAGGCCACAGCGCGCTGATGGCTCTCAAACCCCTGGTGACAGTGGTGTTGGGCCATCAACTGGGGCCACTTTACCATGTCCCCTGCCCTAGGCAAGATGTGTGGTTACTGGAACCTTCCACTCAGGAAGCAGGGAGGCTGCAACCCCTCCCACTGGCCTGTGGCCCCGTCGAAGCTGGTGGCTGGTGGGGTGGGCGGCTGCTGTTCTGCCCAGCTGGGCACTCCCCCCTCTCGAGGAGGACACAGGGCCACACAGAGTGTGGCCAGCACAGCACCGGACGGTGTTGCCAGCGAGGCACCGTGCAGGCTGCTGGCTTCTCAGGAGGGGATGCCGCCCAAACCCTGCAGCCAGGCCGGTGGGACAGGCCCCTGGTCCCGCTGTCAGGGAGACACTGGTAGCGAGGGACCTTATCCTCCACCCCAACGGGGCCGCATTCCAGCCCTGCCCACTCCCAGGCTGCAGGTCGAGGGCCCTAGGCTGGTGTGCGAGGTGGCCTTCGGCCCCTCAGAGGACGGTCCTGTGACCCACCAAGCAGCTCTGGGGACAGAGGCAGAGGGAGAGGGTGGGCTGGGGGCCGCGTGTTGAGGGGCATCTTCCCCTGAGGGGGTCTTGAGTGGGGGGCAGGGACCCCCACACTGGGAAGAGGCAGAAGGCTGGGTCCTTGGGTGCAGAGTGGGGTGCTGGCTGCCAGCATGGGGGAGGGGTACCAAAGCCAAGCTCCCTCCCCCGTGACCCCTTCGAGGTCAGCTACTGACTGCCTGTGTGCTGTTGAGGTAGACTTGGTGGCAGCCCGGGACCTGCCATTGTCACGGCTGCCAGGGAACGAGGGGTCCCGGGGGCCAAGAGCAAGCAGAGCACCCTGGCCGGCAAGTGCGCGGCGGCGAAGGCCACTCGGACCCCCTGGCAGCTGTGGCCGGGGCCAAACCCGCACCTGCAGGCCCTCGGGGAGATGTGTCCTGGTTAGGGGGCAACGTGAGGACGTCCCCTGGAGAGGGGTGACACGGTTGGGACCAAGGCCCATCTGCCCACCGGCACTGGGGAGTCTGGGTCCCATGGAGACAGAGCCCCGTCCTGCGAGCAGCCGCCCACCCTGCCTGCAGCAGTCCCACCGGGACTGGGACTCTCCCAGACATGTCCCCGCGGGGCCCCTGGAGGTGACATCAGGGTGCTGTGTCCATCCGTCCTCTCCCACCGCACTCCCCGCTCTCCTCTCCGAGACGATGGTGCTTCAGGGAAGGTTTCCCGGCAACCAGCCACCACCACCCCTCCCGTCTGGGACCCGAGGGCCCCCTGCCAGGCCCAGTGGGGGAGAGGGCACCGCAGGCCCCTGTGCTGAGACAGGCGGCCACCCCGCCACCCCGACATTGTCAGAGCCCCTGGGGCAGCTCAGGCCTGCAGAAGGCAAGAGCCCCACACGGGCCCTGAAACCAGGGCCGAGCCTGACCTGGGGACCCCTGCCTGGCCCCCCCACTCCTGGGGCCTGGGTTGGGGAGGATGGAGCCCTCGCCCCAGTGCCCCTTGACCCCCGAGGGCTGGCCCTGGGGAGGGAAAGGCTGCTGCCTGACCCTCCAGGACGGGAGTCTGCCCTCTGCCCCCCTCTGCCTCCAGCTCGGCCAGACAGGGCCCCGGTGCCTCCCTCTGCGTCTCCTCCTCCCGCTCGCTCCCCCCTCCCCCGGCCCCCACATCCATCAGCACAGAGGTCAGTGTGGCTGGATTTCAGCCCCTTGTAAAATACCTGGGAGGTCGGGCCGGTCGCTTTGTGAGCTGAATGTATTTTTATGCAACTTCGAGTGGCCTTTCAACCCTGATGGGTGGGTTTGTTCTCCCGGTGGCTCTTACGTCACATTACGAGTGTCCTGCGTTTCAGAGTTCGGGGAACACCGTTCACGCCTGTGTGTTGCCTGTGAGCACGACAGTGTTTATAAGTGAGGAAAATATAGCTGTTTCAGCCGTGTGGCCACGTCTCTGCTTTGTGGGTCCCCAAGACAGGGACACGTGGGCCCCCTGGGTCCGCAGGCCCAGGAGGAGCCAGGACCCAGGGTCAGGAGAGGAGCAGGGTCCCGTGCGTGACAGAGCAGGGCTCGGGGACCAGCTGCCACACCTGCCTACATGGACCGACACCTTCGCCTTCTGCCGCCTGCCCACCCCCGGCCTGAGGACCCCGGAGCCCAGGCCACAGAAGCCCCACGTCGGAGGTCTGTGCCGTGAGGCACTTGAGGGCCGTGGAGCAGCCCTCACTTCCCAAGGTCCCCAGGGCAGCCTCCAGCCACAGGGTTTGGTGGCTGGTGACCCCACACCCAGCTCCACTGGAGGCCAGCCCGGGGCCAGTCCCTCCCGTCCCCCAGGAAAGCCGTCCCCTCCTGGCACTCACCCACTCCCCTCAGGTAGACACAGGGCTCTAAGCCACTGAACCCCCCCCTCCACCAGCCCACCCACTGCCCACCACCCAGCAAACCACTAGAGACGCCCCCCACCCCCAGGTTTCTCTGAGCTCATTTCTTTAATAAGGAGACACAGCTCATTACAAAATGACAGTTTGACAAGAGGTCAGACAAGGTCCACATAAGGGGGGAGGCGCTGCCAAGCGGGGGTTGGGGGGCTGCACGCGTGTCCTTCCCATGGGGACAAAGGGGGGGGCTCCTGGTGGGGCCGTTGTAACAGGGGGCCGGGCAGGCTCAAGTGCCCCCTGGTGTTGAAGCTTCCAGAAAGCAGCAAATCACATTCTCAGACTGGGGGGAGGTGTCAGGTGACCAGCCAGGCTGCTGTGAGAGGGACCCAGTTTAGGGGTGTGGGGGACGCTCCCCACTGTCACCAGTCACACGCCGGGCCTCACTGGGGCCTCACTCCTGACTGCTGCTCTGCGTCCCCTCCACTGCCCTGGGCACCCGGCCCTGCTGCTCGGACGAGGCCCCTGCACCGCACCGCACCCCACCCCACCCCCACCCCATTGCCCGGTGCATGGTCCTCACCCCTGGGCACGCTCACCCAGCCGCCTGCTCAGGTGGGTGGGCGCTGCAGGCCGGGGGGCCACCTGGGCCCCTGGCTGACGCCCCCCACCCTGCCCTCTCCTCCCAGAGGAGCCCTGCGGCCCCCGGGCCGTCCAGGGACCTGGCCCTTCAGTGGAAAGTGACACCATCCACCGGATGGTGATGGGGACCTGGCTCTGGGCTGAGCTTCAGGGGCTGCTCCTGAGCACCCTGGGCGCCCTCTACAGGCCCCCGGAGAGCCAGCAGGCGGGAGCGCCTGGGGAGGCCCCGGGCACCGAGGGTGGAGGTGGGAGCCAGCTTGCCAGGGCTCGGCCACAGCACCCGAGGCCCCAGCAGGAGCCCTGGACACCTTCGTCCTCGGGACACGTGCCGACTCGGGGACAGCAGCATGTGAGCCCTTCTGGAGGGGTCTGCAGGCGCCAGTCAGGCACAGGGCTCCCGGGAGAAGTCGGGCCCAGCTCCAGCAGCCCCTTTATGGCTTGTCAGTTAATTCACACGGTGGGTGAAGGGGCACCTCACACACTCGGGACACCAGACACCGGTTCACACAGAGCATGGGGCCCAGAGGGTCGCCCTGCAGCCCGAAGACCCCGGGGGCTTCCCGGTGGGCGAGGTGGGGACGAGGGACAGACCAGGACACAGACCGGGAGGTGTGAGGTGGGGCCCTCAGCCGGGCCATGCGCTGGGTACAGGAGGTCACACATGCACCTCGGGGAAACAGGGGCTCGCTCGCAGGTCTGTGGGGGCAGCCGTCTGCAAAGACAACTGAGTGCACGCAGGGCTGGGGGGCCGGGCGCAAATGGCTTGAAAAGGCTCTTGTTTTGCTGTCAGTTAAAAATGAAGTATTTTCATGTGTCTTCAAGTCAGTGTCCCCTTCTCAGTATTTCAGCTCCAAAACAGGCGCAAGTACGCCTGGGACCAGTCTGCACCCCTGGGACAAAGGTGGGCACATGGGGTCCGGAGGCACCAGACTGTGTCCCAGGCGGCCCCCAGGACATGCCTGCGCTTTGAAATTATTCCTTGTTCATCTGAAATTCAAGGCTGCTACCGGGGTACATTTGCCAAGTCTGGCAAGCATGTCACCGGGCTCTGGGCCACCGAGTTCAGGCCCAAGGACACTTCCCTGTCTGCCAGCCTTGGGGGTGGGGGAGGGACCCAGTGGAGGAGGGGACAGTCCCTGGTTCCAGTTCTTCCTACCTGTGGGGGGCAGAGCACCAGGGACAGAGCTTGGGCGAGGCCACGAATTAACTCAGGACGCTGAAGAACTCAGGGGCCTCTCACTCCCAGGCTGCAGGGGACGTCTGTCCACTCCTGGGCCCACCCACGAGCACCCACTGGCCGGAGACCTGAAGCACCCCGTCCCCCCTCCCACTGATGTTCTAGGCCTGTGAGCTCTGTCACCCCAGACAGACTGGGCAGCTGAGGGGCCCCAGAGAGTCACTGCCTACCCATGCCCAGCACCTGCCCCCGCCCCCCACCTTGGTCTCCCTTCCAGAGCTCAAGATGCAGGGGCGTCAAACTCATGTTCCCTGGGGGCCACATCAGCCTCACAGGTGCCTTCGAAGAGCCAAATGTGACTTTAGGACTGTGTAAATGCAACTACTCCTTAACTAGCGGCAAGGAGCTTGGCACTGCTGCCGGGTAGAAACCAGGTGCCGAGCGGATAAAATCAGGTGGAAGGCGGGATTCAGTCCTCGGGCCTTGTGTGTGCCACCTGTGATCTAGAGTGGTCTAGAGGGAAGGAGAAAACCTGAGCTCTTGACCTCAGCTGGGTTTCAGGGCGGGGAGGTTGAGGTGGGCTTCAAGGCCTCAGCCCTCTGTTTCCCCCTCCTGGACTGAACTTCAGTCCTGAAAACCGGCAGCCTGACCCACACTGCGCCTGACCGTGGGCCAGCAGCCCGGGGTTCACTCTGCGGCTCCGGGAGCAGCAGCCCAGGTGGAGAGAGTGAACAGGCAGGCCTGGCAGGTGCCTTCTGCCGCCGGGGCTCATCAGGGCCACGGGCTCCCCACACCCAGCTGTCTCCTCCCGCCCTCCGCGCACGTGCCCCGGCCCTCAAGGCTGCCCCCTAGCGGTGGGCCCAGAACGATAACATCCAGCTGGTGCCGCAGAGCCGGCCCAGCTGGAGACAGTAGAGGCGCCTGCCATCTCCCGCCCTCCTGTGAGGATGGGGGTTGATGACCCTGGGCTCTGGAAGCCTCCCAGGTGGACATGGGTGGGAGGGAGGGCGCTGGGCAGGGCCTAGGACAAGGTCTGTGGGACCCGACGAGGGAAAGCGGACGGGAAGCCCTGAGAAAGCACCGAAATGCCCCTGCGCTGGCGAGGGAGCCGAGCCCAGCGCCCTGCGACGTCCGTCTCTGCAGGCACCCGCTCTCCCACACGCTCGACCTTGTCGGCGCCCACCGGCCTCGTGGCTGCCAACATGCCCATAAACACGCACACACGTGCACACACACACAGGCCCACGGCCACGGCCGCCCGTGAGGAGTGGGGCCCGCCGCCTGCGGAGGGGCGGCAACGACCAGCACCCCCTCCCGCCCTCAGCACAGCGAGAAGACGCCTCGTTGGGGCCGCTCCCTCCAAGCCTCACTCTGCAACTCGGGCCGTCCGCCCCGGGCGCAGGCGGCCGGCCGCACAGGTGGTGCAGGTTTCTGGGCGGGAAGGGCCGCCGGCTGCCGCTCCAGCCCCACCGCAGGCTTGGAAGGGGACCCAGTGCAAACTGGAGGAACACATATATGGCTTTTTATCAATGCTGGGGACAAAGGTGAACAGGAAGCGGGGGCCAGAGCGCGGGGCAGAAACCCCAGCGCCCCCCACCACCATCTGAAGGGAGGCCCAGCCGGCCTGGGGGCCCGGGAGAGACGCGCCCTGAGGAATAAGGGCCTGGCTCACCTCATTCGTCCAGGAAACCTCTACGGTGTGTCCACTGACCCCCCTTGTCCCCTGGGCCTCGGGGAGCTAACGACAGCTCGACCCTCCGGGTGAATCCCCCTGGCTCCGCACAGGCTACTCCACTCGGATGGAAAGAAAACAAGCCAAAGCGTGATGGGAGGGGCCCGCAGGGCGCAGGGCGCCGTCCTGCGAAGGGGCGGGGCGTCTGCTGCCCCGGAAGCGTCGGGTGGGGGGTGCAGCTGGGCTTCCGGGGAGACGTGTCTTCATAGTCAGACATGGACGGTTGACAAGAGTGAGGTCCCAGGGCTGACAGTCCCGCTTAGAGTCTGACCCACCCCACGATTGTCCCCACGTCCATGACCACGGACGTCGCAAATGCCCCCCTCAGGGGCAGCCAGGGCCGGAGCAGGGCGTCTGCGGCATCAGGGGTGGTCCTCGCTGGGGACGGACCCAGTCTCCACCTCCTGCCTCCCAGGCAGCTGCCCACGTGGGCTAAGGACCCCCTTCCCTTGGGGGGCCCTGAAGAGCCTTCCGTCCCTGCAGGGAGTCACTGTTCTTGGCTCGTTCCAGGGACACAGAGAGATGCTCACACCCACGCAGTCGTGTGCACGCACACGCGCTCACACGCACACACATAGGACCGCTGGCCACTGGGCCCCCTTCCCCGACAGCAAACCGGGGTGTTGCCGCACTCTGGTCCCGGATACCCCACCGTGGGGCCGTGCCGGGCTGCCTGCCACCAGAGGGCCTCACTCCGTGGGCGAGTGGGGCTGCGACCGGGAGGGGACCGTGACGGGCATGCAGCGGGACGGCTCCTGGACGGTGACAAGAGCCAGGCTCCTCTTCACCCTGCGGGGGCCCCCAGAGGGAAGCCGGCCGTTACACAGACGGATGGGGGGGAGCGACCGGGACATGGCGCGGACAATGGGAAGGGGGCCTCTGGGGTGAGTGACTGAGGTATTGGTAGCTCTGGGTCTCGTCGGCGTCCGAGCCAGCGGCGCGGGTGGCGGCCGCCGCTGCCTACTTGTTCTTGCCCAGGAGGGCGTCCACCTCCTCCTCGGGCTTCAGCGAGTGCCACT